CAATAAATCATTCTCCAGGGTTCCATACCACTCACTTATTAAGTACTTAAGCGCTTATTAAATGCTTTCATAATCATTATCTTATATAAGCAATTAGCAGACCTCAGTTCTAGTCCAGTTCCAATTCTCAGGGTTGCTCTTCGGCAGGTCACGCTCCCTCTTGGAGTCTTTTGTTATTTTGCAAAGAGAGATGTCCAGATTTCCTTTCAGTTCTAACCACTCCCTGCTGCTGCTCCTTCTCTATTCCAGACGGACTGCCATGGTGGCATGAGTGGCACCGTCTACGAGTATGGAGCCCTCACAATTGATGGGGAGGAGTACATCCCTTTCAAGCAGTACACTGGCAAATACATCCTCTTTGTCAATGTGGCCAGCTACTGAGGCCTGACAGGCCAGTATGTCGGTAAGAGCCCACCCTTCCTCCCTGCTGTAGCTGGGGCTGATGCACCTTTCAATCGCAGCAGTGTTTCTGGTGTGTGCGGAAAGACAGCAGGAATCACGAAAGTCCAAGACCCATATCCCAGCTCCACTGTGTTCCATGGTTCTGTCGAGGTGATTCAGTAAGCCCGAAATCCAGTTGCCTTTGGACTATTCTAGGAGATTCTCAGTTCTAATGCTTCATCCCTGGCACCTCAGCTACCCTAAAAGCAGAGGGATTAAGGAGATTGGGTTTCTGCCTGGAGCTCCCTTGACTACAGTAAGAAATTATAGCTGGAGGGCAGTGCCTGTGGCTCAGTGAGTAGAACACCAGCCCCATGTACCAAGGGTGGTGGGTTCAAACCCAGCCTTGGCCAAACTGCAAAACAAAAAATGGCCGGGTGTTGTGGCGGGCGCCTGTAGTCCCAGCTACTCGGGAGGCTGAGGCAAGAGAATTGCCTAAGCCCAAGAGCTGGAGGTTGCTGTGAGCTGTGACGCCATAGCACTCTACCGAGGGTGACAAAGTAAAACTCTATCTCAAAAAAAAAAAGAAAGAAAGAAATGGCAGCTAGAGCACAATGTTGCTGGGAATGTCTCATTTTCCCTCAGCCCCATCTGCCTTTGGGTGTTTCTCCTGGCCCTTCCCTGGATAGTAGATAGCTGGCCTGAGGCCCCAGAGTGTATATGTGGGGGTAGGGCAGGGAGTGAGGAATAGGCTACATTTCTGAGGTCCGTTCTAAAGCAAACTTTGAAGACCATCCAATTCATCTCAGATAGGAAACCAAGGCTGGGGTAAACATACAGCTTAACCAGGATCACAGACTGTTTTGTGGTAGAACCAGGAATTTGGCCAAGGTTTCATGACCCACTAATATTCTCACTCTTTTTTTCTTAGCTGGGGCAGAATAAAGAGCCTGAGGGACCAGGCAGGCCAAAGGCACATGACAGGAGAAATGCTTTGGGGAGGAGCACAGTCTGTTGGCAGGGGCTAGGGGAGGCAAGGGCAATCTGATCTGGAATGTTCTGCCTACCTGATGATCGCAGACAAATTTCTGGAAGTGGAATGACACTGCCACTGCATGGCCCAGTGGCAGTGATCACTCTGTACAGAATGCTTATCTAGCCGTTGGAACAGAGCACAGTGCATTGTGCAAGACGTGGACCAGGTGCTGGCATTGCATAAGAGGCTAGGGGCACAGAGGAAACTGGGGCACTGGGCCAGGGCCTCCCTCGGGCTCCTAAATGCCTCAAAAATATGAGAGGGTTATAAGGGGCTCACCTCATCCCAAGGAAGTCCACTGCTTTCTGCCTAGGGATGGATGGTTCTTGTTCTAAGAAGCTCAATCCTGAGCACTCTGAATGAGCACTCAGCCAACTGGCTCAGACAGTGGCCTTGGCAGTGGGCAGGTGATTGGTGATATGAGGAAGGGTATTTGTTACTTTTCCACAAAACCTCCAATCCATCCAGATTAGAGTCAGGAGAAAGGGGCTTGAGTCTCAGCATTGCCAGAAATCCACTGGTGACCTTGGGCAAGTCCCTTCTCTTCTCAGGAGGCCTCAGTGGTGTCAGCTGCATGGTGGGTGGGCAGGGGGATAGTGTGGCTGAGGCAGGGCTCCTCACCAGGCCACCCTCTCTCTCTCCCTGGCCCAGAATTGAATGCACTACAGGAAGAACTTGCCCCATTTGGTCTGGTCATTCTGGGTTTCCCCTCCAACCAATTTGGAAAACAAGAACCAGGAGAGAACTCAGAGATCCTTGCCACCCTCAAGTGAGTGCTCACTCAGCATCCTGGGAAAGCTCCTCTAGTAGGGCCCCATGTCTTGCTTTGGCCCCAATTCATGGTGAATGTTTATCCGCCAAGAACCACTCTTTTCTGTTAGGAACCCCATTCTGTAATGAGGGGAAGGAGAGGGAGGACTGGTTATGACATACATGAGGAAGGAATTTGTTGTGGGAGGAAGGAATACTGTTGGCGGGAGGGAGCAAGGGAAGAGGTTGGGGAAGATGTTGGGAAGGGACCAAGCTAGAAGAAAATAAGACTAAAGACCCACATCATGCCTATGCCCCTTCCACATTCACTGCCTCCCCCCGCCCACTGTGGAAGAAATTGCCTCCCAGCACTCCCTTCCCTGTTCTGTCCCTTCCTTTCATTTCTGAGCCCTGTGCCCATTTCTTGGGACCCACCTAAGAACATTCCACAATAGGCATGTCCGGCCCGGAGGGGGCTTTGTCCCCAATTTCCAGCTCTTTGAGAAAGGAGATGTGAATGGGGAGAAAGAGCAGAAGTTCTACACTTTCCTGAAGGTGAGTGAGCAGCCACCTTTGTGGCCAGGGCTGCAGCCGCTCCTGGCTCCAGCCCACAGACAGAAGCCATGCCACCCACCTGTTCCTGGGCTTTGTGGGAGTTTCTTGGCATCTATTGTTCCAACCAGAGGGCTCTGCAGACCCTACAATCCCATCAGCCATGTTATGGTAAAGCCCAGATGGGGGGACCCAGAAGGGACATGCTGAGGACCCTGCAATCTTCTAGAACCATAACTCAGACTGGCATTCTGTCTTCTTTTCTTAGTAACAGGCTGTTCTCCCAACCCAGGAAAGCCTGGGGAGGCACCAAGCAAGACTGACACTACTTTCTCTTCCCTGCTCCAGAATTCCTGTCCTCCCACCTCGGAGCTCCTAGGCTCACCTGGACGTCTCTTCTGGGAACCCATGAAAGTCCACGACATCCGCTGGAACTTTGAGAAGTTCCTGGTGGGGCCAGATGGTATACCTGTCATGCGCTGGCACCACCGGACCACAGTCAGCAATGTCAAGATGGACATCCTGTCCTACATGAGGCGGCATGCAGCCCAGGGAGGCACGGGGAAGTAACTGATGCCCGCCCCACCCCACCCCATGTCCACCATGCAGGGGCTGGGGAGGGACTCTGTTCAGGAAGGAATCTTGTCTCCAACCACACTATATACTTACCATTAGACCCTTCTCCAATCACATTAGGCCCCAGCCTGACACAGATGTATGCCTGCATAGCTGGGCATGTGCGTGTTTGCCCGTGTGCCTATGAGTGCGTGGCTGTGTGTGTGCATATGGTGGGTGTCCAGCCACATGTGTCTACCTGTGCAACTATCTGGGGGGGCCCATAGTGTGTGGTACTGAAGAATACTACCCCTTTCCTTCCAGTTCTTTGTTCCAATAACAATTCACTTAAATCTAAGCCCAAAATAAAACCCAAACCCACCTCTAGGTCCAATGGTCCTTCCTGGACCTGGACCTCAGACTTGGGGCCAGCATCTCCCATTGCCTCTAGATACTACCACCGAAGTGCTCAGAGGTTTCTGGGTCTGCCACACTGCCCAACCCCTCTCCTCCTTCCTGAAGGGCCCTCTCAAGGCTCCTCCCCTACCCCACAGTTCTCCCTGAGATCAGCCAAGGCAGATGTGAGAGTGAGGGCCACGTATCCAAGTCAGGGGTGGTGTCTGCATGAGGGAGGGGCCCGAAGCCCTCATGGGCGGACCCCCCCTGAGCCTGTCTGTGGGGCCGGCCCTTAGTGCATTCAGGCTAAGGCCCCTGGGCAGGGATGCCACCCCTGCTCCTTCGGAGGACGTGCCCTTTCCCCCCACTCTGGTCATTGGCATTGGACTCACACCCCTGTCTGCCCAGTAAAGGCCTTTCTGCAGCAGCTGAGCTTCCTGTGGTGCTTCCTCAAGAGTGGCCACCCCAGCCTGGGCGGGAGATGGGGAGGACAGGGTGGGCAGGGTAAAGATGGGAAGGCAATGGCTTAGCGCCTAGACCTCGGTAGAAGCTACAGAACAGGTACCCAAAATGTTCCCTCATTTCTCTTCTTGCCCTCCCATCTTTTTTTTTTCTTAGTAACAGGCTGTGGTTAGTAACCACTGAGAGTGGTTAGGGTGCCAGCCACATACACTAGGGCTGGCGGGTTTGAACCTGGCCTAGTTCTGCTAAACAATTGACAACTACAAGAAAAAAATAGCCGAGTGTTGTGGAGGGCATCTGTACTCCCAGCCACTTGGGAGACTGAGGGAAGTTTGAGGTTGCTGTGAGCTGTGATACCACCGCACTCTACCAAGGGCAACATAGTGAGACTCTGTCTCAAAAAAAAAGAGGGGAGGAGGGCAAAGAGAGAAATGAGGGGACATTTTGGGTCCCTGTTCTGTGGCTTCTACCTAGGTCTAGTCTGCTGCTCTTGGCATTTTGAGTTTATGAAATGAGTTCACATCTACTCTCACTTCTTCCCACAATTCTTCAAGACTGTGAGAGTTAAAACGAGCTGTTCCATTTAACACATGAGGAAAAGAGGCTCAGAGTTGGACCAGGACTTGCCTCAGGTCTCCCAATGAGTGAGGGGCAGGACTGGAAATTAAACCCAGGTCTCCTGACCTCTGGGCCAGGCTCTCTCAGCTGCCCTAGATGTGTCAGCCTCTGAACAGGCCCCAGGGCTGTCAGCCAAAGGTAATAGTGACATGCGCTCAGGGAGATGGGGGGAAGGGGCACAGGAGGAGGGGGTACCCTGGCTGAAAAGGGAACATTAGTCAGGGCATAAATGAACACAAGTCACAGCATGTTGATTTTCAACTTGAATTTATATCCAAAGTTCGTGCAAACAGCTGCCCAGGAATGGACAACCACCTCAATCTGGGTCTCTGGCACTACAGCCCTCTAACTGCAGGGCTGAGGGCTTAGACTTCAGGGCCTGGCAGCTTCTGGCCAGCTTCTACTAGTCCCTCAGTGGACATGGCTGGCATGGCCTTCATTCCAGCTGCAATGGCTCTGGCAAGGCTACTATTGTGAGTGCAGGTGAAGAGAGCACCAGAGCCAGAACATCCTGTTGTTCTCTTCCATTCTAGAGAAAACCTGCTCTTCCCACAACTCCTCACACAGGGGTAAGGATGGGCATTCGGCAGGTCCTGCTACAGAACTTGAAGCAGAAATTAAACACACACAAGAACCGGGTATGCCCTTCGGAGGGGCTAGAACACTTCTGGGAAGTTCTTAAGGAAGAGGTCTCAAGTACAACCTACTCAAATGATGTCTCCTGGAGGTTTCAGCAAAGGATGGCAGGTCTAAGCCGAATGAGGCCCTCTCCACGCAGCAGCAGGGTAGCGAGTTCCTGGAAACTCCCAGAGGAGGAGCCCAAATGGAAGCCTTCCAGGCAGAGCCTCCCTAGTCCTGTAAACAGTTCAGTCAGGCTGGGGGTGCAAGCTGGCTGCCCATCTCAGCCCCCTGTCCGGATGAGGCTCTGGCCACACAGAGCATGTGGCCTTTAGTTTTTGGGTCCTCTGAGGTCAGTTGGCTCTGCAAGACGAAAGTGGAACCAAATGATGTGATCTGGTCTCACTGAGGCCCCTCTCGGTCATTTTTTGTAGACTCTAAATAAACAACAATTTTAAGGACTTCAAGATTATGTGGTACAGTAAGTTCAAAGTCTTTTATGGAAACCAATACAGTAGTAGTGAAAATAACGTGCAGGGTTACTGAGTGCTTCTGTGTGCCAGGCTGAGTGCCTCAGGTGCTCATGTGATCCTCACTCAGCCCTATGAAATAGGCAGATTATCATCCCTTTGTGGAGAAGGGAACTGGGACCCAAGTCTCAATCTAGGAAGCAGTAAAGCCAGGATTCAAACCCAGTCAGTCTAGCTCTAGACCCAGAACAGTGGTTCTCAACCTTCCTAATGCCGCGACCCTTTAATACAGTTCCTCATGTTGTGGTGACCCCCAACGATAAAATTATTTTCCTTGCTACTTCATAACTGTAATTTTGCTGCTGTTATGAATCATAATGTAAATATCTGATATGCAGGATGTATTTTCATTGTTACAAAGGGGTCACGACTCAAAGCTTCTAGTGTCCTAGAAGCAGAGCTGTTCTGGGGGAGGGGGCAGCCTTGCCCACTAGGCCCCCTCGGTCACTCATCCAAGTGGTCTCCAAGGAGCCTCAGAGAACCTCTAGTAGGTATCTGCAGGGAATCATTACAAAATGACTGGCCAGTCCAGTCTTCTAATCACTAAACCCTCCAAATCACACCCCCTCCAAGTCTGTCCTGTGCCCTGTGCTTACAAATACCTTCGTGAGGACATACCACCTCCTGAGAGAGCTGGCTCCATTTCTGCAGAACTGTGGCCCTTAGGAAGTCCCTCTTCATGCTAAGATGGACTTGGCCTTCCTATCATTCCTACCCAGCCATTGAGATTCTGTCCCCAGAAGTCTGCCTTCTGCCCGTGAGCCCTGCAGAACAAGGGCAACTGCTAAGGGTCCAGAGTTGCCTTCTGCCTAGTAGATGCAGGTCCAGGCCTTTCAACTGTTTATGGAAGACACAAGGCCACTGCAAGCTTTTCAAACCCAAATCTGGTCATCCCACTTTGCTTTAAAAATGTCTAATAGGCTGTGCACCGCAGCTCACGTCTGTAATCCCAGCACTGTGGATGGAGGGCCAAGGCGGGTGGATTGCTTGAGCTCAGTTCAAGCCTGAGCAAGTGTGAGACCTCCATCTCTAAAAAGAAGCTGGGCATTATGGCAGGTGCCTGTAGTCCCAGCTACTCGGGAGGCTGAGGCAAGAAGATCACTTGAGCCCAAGAGTTTGAGGTTGCTGTGAGATATGACTCAAGAAGAGCTATGTCACTCTACAGAGGGTGACAAAGTGAGACTCTGTTTCCAATAAATAAATAAGCAAATAAAATAAAATATCCCATGGCTCCATGTCATTCCAAGGATCAGACCAGCCCTCCCTCCATGCTCTGCAGGCCCTGAGAGGTCTGGACCTGCCTGGCCCCTACCCTCACATTGCCACCTTCTGTCTCCCAAGCTTGTCTTGGTTCCAGCCACACTTGCCTTCCTTGAGGTCCCCAAATAGCCCACCTTCCTTCACTTTCTCCCACCAAGGCTTTTGCATTTGTCATTTTCTCTGAAAGAACATCCTCCACCCTACCTCTTCACCTAGTTAATGCCACTTGTTCTGAGGTCTCAATTAAAACAGTACCACCTATGCCCCGTCTAGGTCAGCTTCCTCTGGTATCTGCTCTTCAGGGCACTCAAGTGCAGCCTGTCTGTGTGAGTTTTGTTCACTTGCTCCTGCCTTCCTCACTAGGCAATATGCTCTCTAAGAGTAGGGAGCATATCTGCTTCTGCTCTCTTTACATCCCTAGCACCATGCTTGGCACGTGGACGATGCACTGGAATGAATGAACGAGTGAGTGAGTTCAGTCCCCTCACCCTGCAGTCGCCATCACTCTCCTTTCAACGCTATTTCAGAAAGCCAGGCCTCTCCCTCACCAAGACCAGAAACTAACATCAGCTCTAAACTCTGGCAATCCTGGCAGATAAGAAGTTATCTCCCCTAGAGAGAGACAGGACCCAGTACCAGGGGCTCACACTTACCTGGTTCTACAGGCCTGGCTGGGGACGGGTCCATCACTTGGGAGCTCTGATTTCGAATTCCTCCATAGGGTGGGCGCCAGGTGTATTCCGGCTGTGACAAAACTTGTACTTAATAATCAATAACCACACTCAAAAATTATAACAGCAGCTACCGTGCCAGGTCAGTACTAAATATATATTAATCAAGTGTAATTTAATCTTTGTAACAACCCATATTGCTATTCCCATTTAATAGGTGAAGAAACACACTTGGGAGGTTAAGCAACTTCGTGAAGGTCATTTAACTAGGAAAGTGGCTAAGCTTGGAGTTGAATCCAGGTCTTTGGAACTCCAGGGTCAATCTCTGAAGCATCACACTATGCTCCAATGGTTAAAGAAGATGTGTACATAGAATGGTCACACGGGGAGAAGCTGGACAAGATGCTGGCCAGGAGGCTGTGGAATCATCCAGGGGAGGACTGGGGATGCCTGGACAGAGAGCCTAGAGAAACTGGGACAGGGGACAGCAGCTCTTTGGAGAAAGACTGATAAGAGAGAAGAGAAAGCAAAAAACAGAAAACAACTAGAAAACAGAAGAGAAAAATAAAGGAATAGGAGAGAAATATGGTGAGGCTCTGGACCCTGGTTATATGGAAAGGTCATAAGACAAAGTCAAACCCAAATTCTGGCATGTCTGGCCTGGGGCTTGGAGGGAGTCCCGCTTCCTACCCTGCACTTTCACACAGCTTCTTCTGTCCTATACCAGTGACCAGTGACCCTGAATAGCTGTGGGCTGCAGGATCCTTGCCCGTGGGTAGCAGGCCAGAGCCAGGTCTTGACACCTGCCTGCCACCACAGTGCTGCTCAGCAAGAGCTAGAGATGTAGTTTCCAACCCTCTCACTTAACCTTCCTCTCTGGAAAGTGTGTGAGGCAGCCTCTGTGCATGGCTTGGAGTGAAGGAGGGACATCACTCACCAGATGGAAGAGGCGTGAGTTGGGAAGTGGGGCTGGGTGCTCCATGGCCATGGGGGGTGGGGGGTAGCGGATCTGGGACCAGTCCTCAAAGCCGTGGTGAGGCACCATGGCTGGCATGGGCGGATAGGCATAGGGGTAGGCCCCGCAGAGGTGCTCCGGGTGGGGCTCCACATGGTAGCGCTCTCCTGAGGCCTGCAAAAAAGGATCACATCCGGCTCTGGCCTGCAACAAGCTGTACAGGTCACCTAGTGACACCTATCTCCTCTCTCTCACTCTGTACTTGGAATACTAGCTCTCTGAAGGCTGCCACATGGTGGGTACAAAATATCAACAATGATGACAGCTAACGTGTCCTGAGGATTGACTGCGTCAATTACTGCTCTAAGCCTTTACCTGTATTACCTCTGTGGGTAGCTGCAGAGAGCGTCACACATCTGAGCTCACACTGTCTCTGCCACCAGACTGTAGCTCCCGGAGGAAGGTGCTACCTCCTCCCTCAAGCCTCCTCACCTTTGCTTTCCTCTTCTGCTGTTTGAGGGCTTCTCTGGCCTTCTCCTCGTCTTTGAAAGCTTTCAGCTGAGAGAAGGAGGGAGAGATGACTGTCGGCACAGATGGTTCCCAGCCAGGCCCAGATTCAGGGCCTGTCCAGCCCAGAGGGGTGACTGGCCAATGCGTAGGGACCCCCTGGGCTGCCAGGCCTCAGTCAGCCCTGGAGCAAGGCCCTGACGAGCAGAGCACAGCTCAGGCTGTTGGTTGTGGGTGAACCCTGCTTGTCTGAGCACAGGTCAGAAGGGTCTATGTGAGCCTCACTGCTTCTGTGTTAGCCACATCTTCTGTTCCATTTTGAGAGAGTGGGTGGCTCAGGGCCAATCTGAAGTTTGTTCCTCTAGGGCATCAGAGCAGACTGGAAAGTCAGAGCTGGAAGTATCTCAGAGTTAAGCCCCATCGTATAAAGAAAAAGTTAAAAGAGAGGAAGGGACTTGCTGAAGTCAGAGAAACTTGGTAGCAGAGCCAGGAGAACCAATGAGTATCCTGACACCCGTCTCATAGGCCCTCTAATCCATGCCCCTCGCCCCGTGAGGACAGGCCAATCACCACCCCTCCTCGGTCCGCATGCTCTCACCTGAGCATTTGACAGGGTGACCTGGGCCTGTAGCCTCTCCACCTGCTTCTTCAGTTCTTCCTTCTCTTCGTTCATGCGCTCCCGATCGCTGCGCTCTCTCTGGAAGTCCTCTTCGAATATCTTCACCTGGAGGGGAGAAGGGGTGAAGGTTTGAGTGGAGGTTCCTACCTACGAAGCCACCAGGCCCCCAGGCCCCCAGGCCCCCAGGCCTCCTGCTGGGGGTCACGATGGAAGAGCACACTTCAACCCATGTTGGGGGGTCACTATGGGGAGTGGAATGCGTGTACCTCCAGGCCCCACCCCAATTTCAAACAGCAGTTCTGTGCCCCTCAGTCTTACAGTCCAGGCTCAGAGGCAAGGCTGCTGCTGCTGCTTTTTTTTTTTTTTTTTTTTGAGACAGAGGAGTCTTACTTTGTTGCCCTCAGTAGAGTGCTGTGGCATCATAGCTCATAGCAACCTCTAGCTCTTGGGTTTAAGTGATTCTCCTGCCTCAGCTTCCCAAGTAGCTGAGACTATTGGCACCCACCACAAGAGCTGTTTTTTGTTGCAGTTTGGCCAGGGCCAGGTTTGAACCCACCACCCTCGCCCCACTCACTGAACCGCAGGTGCCGCCCAAGGCAGGGCTTCTTTTAAACAAAAGATCCATGGCTTTAAAAAAGGCTGAAGCTATCCACCAGTACAATCCTTTCATTCTGTGGCAGTCCCCACAAAGAAGCAGACTGTGGTGGAAGACTGGAGTTTGGGTCTGCCGGCTGGGAGAGCAGAGGATGTACAAACTGTCCCAGGGCTTTGGGGTGCCCTGACAGACAGCAGGATTGGTGGGACCCTGCCTCTGCCTCTTAGCCTGTAGTTTTGCATCCTTACTCTGGATCAGTCAAGACACTGACTGGGATCAAGATGATTCAGGAGGATCAAAAGCATAGCACTAAATAGCACAGAACACATGGGAGAGCCATAACCTCAACTTCCTTTCAATCCTTCGGTGTCCCTCAAGGAAAAAAATCTCGGTTTTATGCTAGTAGGTCTTTTAATCACAGCTAGTAGGTCTTTCCAGTAGTTGCCCATCACCTTTAAGTGAAGGGGAAAAGAACTAGTGGAAAAGAACTTAAAAGTTCAGAGTTTTCGTTAGTCAACAGTATCTGGCTAGAGCTTAGTAACGTTGTATTCTTCCTATATACAGTATTCACTGGTTACAGTTACTTTCTATTTGCGTCAATAATAAATAGGTTTTGACACTTATAGGAGTGATATAAAGTTCCTTTTTAAATATATTCATTTAGAATTTATTTTTTAAATGATAGGTTAATAAATAGCACAGGTGGGGCATAGAGATGGCTAAATCAGAGGTGGTACAGGACGGACTTAAGGTAGGGATACACTGCTGGAAGGATAAACCTACAACCAGGCAGAGGTCCTGGGCAATGACCATAAACTGCACTATTAATTATAGGTTCCGTGTGATTCGAAGCCCATCCTGGGCGCTAGGAATGTTCCAGCACCCCCTGAGTACCTCCTGCCCAACTTCCTCCCCTGTGCCTCACCTGCTGTTTCAGCAATTCATTCTGTGTGACCAGCTCCTGCTTCCTTAGGAGGCCCCCTGCTCCTTCTGGGCTCCCAAATGCTGTTGGTGGAGATGAAGGAGGGGCCTGGATGCTCAGTGCCTCCTCCAGGGCCTGAGATTAGGGAGAAAGGAGATACAGTCATCAGTAGGAGCTCCCGGAAGTCAGGTCCCTACAGGGGTGCCATTCTCAGGGATCTCCTTCCTGACAGTAATGGCAATGACAGTAACCAGCACCACCAGTACTAAATAAATGCTACCCTTTAGATGCACTCCACATCATGTCAGTGAGATTTAGGACTTCCAAACAGTCCTATGAAGAAAATACCACAACTATCATCCCCATTTCACAGATGTGAAAACCAAGGCTTGGAGAGCTGACGTGACTTGTCCAAGGTCACACAGCTAGTAAGTGGCAAAGCAGAGATTCAAACCCAACATGTACTCTTACCCAGCAAGCTAAACTGGGGTCCTCATGTAGAAGTGGGAATACCCACTATCTTGCAGAGTTACTGCTCAAATCTTAGATGCAACCTCCAACAGAATATTAATGGATATTTAGGGGAGCTTCAGTCTCCTAAAACTGCCCTGTTGAGATTCTTTAGCTTCTGTTGGATTCTTCAGCTTCAGTCTCCTTTCATTCCCACCCAAACTAACCCTTCCATCCTCAATTCTTCTGGTGTTAAACTGGATTTTAATTTCTATGTAGTTAATATCTTACCTCTCTAACACTGAAAATGGGATGAAACATCACCCAACAATGTTATAAAAATAAAAAAAGAAAAGCACTCTCAATCTACCATGTTCACAAAATACTTCCCTTTACGTAAACCATCTTCTTAAAAGGTTTCCATTAACAGTCTGTCTGCTTCAGCTCTGTTAACATGGCACTTTAGAACGCTGGACACCTCTCAAGCTGGCCAGCTGACCTGGACTTACCACCACCTGGACTTCAGTCCCTGGGCAACAGGGACTCTGCCCACATGCTACACATCACCCTCCATGTGGGAAATAGAGAAGATTGCCCCACCCTGGACTCAGGTCTCCACTTAGTCTTCTCTGCTCCCACAGACACACTAGGAAGCTGCTGGACCAAGAGGGAGTTATGGCTCCACTTTACCCTCCACTCTACCCCATTTTTTAGATGAGAAGACTGAGGTCCAGGGACAGGAAGAGACGTGTCTGAACTCACAAAGAAAGCTGGCCACCTGCCTCACGTTACACATCCACATGGGTGTCTCTGTCCCCAAGAAAACCTATAGGTTTGTCTTTACAATCAGCAGTATAGACAATAAATACTCTGCCTGGATTTAAATTCCCGAGTCCTGAGTACCCTAGCTCAGGACAGATCTTTTTTTTTTTTTTGTAGAGACAGTCTCACTTTATCACCCTCGGTAGAGTGCCATGGTGTCACACAGCTCACAGCAACCTCCAACTCCTGGGCTTAAGTGATTCTCTTGCCTCAGCTTCCTGAGTAGCTGGGACTACAGGCGCCCGCCACAATGCCCGGCTATTTTTTTTGTTGCAGTTTGGCTGGGGCTGGGTTTGAACCCACCACCCTCAGTATATGGGGTCGGTGGCCTTTTTTCCTCTGGGAAAAGGTCCTAAGAGCCCCAGACTCAGCATAGTCAATGCTTATAAAACACTAAAAACAAATAGAAAGGGCTGTTCCAGCTGGCCTTGGGCCCAGTGACTGCCACCCCCATGCCAGAGCCTGCCATGACCAGTGTAGGGAGGCAGAGGGTAAGGAAACACAATCGCACAGAAGGAAAAGCTGAGCCGCAAATGTAACTCCTCCAGACCTTCCCACAGAGTGTCCCTCCAAAGCTCCCTCCTATCAGCTCACTCCGTTTAACCCCATGCTGCCAGGCTGGTAGGGATAGAGCAATTCCAGCAAGGGCTCAGATGGTGAAACTGAGGTCCAGAGAGGCTAAGCTGGCTAAGCCAGGCCTAGATCCAGCCCAGACCTGCCTGTCCTGCTGACACCTGCCTAGGCTCAGACCAGAGGGTTTCTGCTTTCTCCAGCACACCCTGGGTCCTACTTCACAAGGTGGGAGAGCACAGCCTGTGCTCATTCGCTAATCCACTTAACAAGTATTTCCTGAACATGTGCTTTGTGCCGGAGCCATGAGAGGCCACCAGTACACATCCCGGTGAGGATCGGCACCTCCCACCACTGTATGCAAGGATAGAGAATGAAGTAAGTGATCACAAGGAAATGTGAGCAGGGACATGAAAGAAGTCACTGGTACTTTAAGAGCATAGACCATGGTAACCCAAAGGAGATTTGGGGAAGGCTTCGCTGGGGATGTGGTGGTAAAGCTGACCCTGATGAGCAGTAGTGTGGCCAGCTGAGGGGTAAGGATGGCCTGCGGGGCCAAGTGCACAGGCTCATCTGGGGCTGGGTCACTCAGGGTGTGTGTGGGATAAGCAGAGGAGGCAGAACTGTGGGAACTGTGAGGCTAGCCTGCTGACTGAAGAGTCACCCTTCCTGAGCTGAAGGGTTGGGGACCTCAGCAACACAGTGAGTATTGCAGCTGGACTCAGGAAACCCTGTCCACCTAGGGACCAGCGCCCCGGTGCCCACCTTGTTGAGCCGCTGGATCTCCTTTTCCTGGTACTCGCGCTGCCGGGTGAGTGGGCTCAGCTGATCCTGCAAGTACTTAACCTTCTGGCGCAGCTCCTTGGCCTCTGCTGTCAGTTGCTCCTTGTCGGTCTGCAGAGAACAGGGGGGTGGTGAGCAGAAGCCTCTCCAGGAGGCAGAGATACTCTGCCCTGCCTGCCCCAGCCCTCACCTGGGCACAATTCCTCTCATCCTCAGCCACCATGCCACAGGGCTCCAGTGCAAGGCACCTGGGGTCAGTGCAGCTATGCCAATAGGGTCCTGCCCTTGACTGTTATGTATCAATTAAACATGATAACCACCAAAAAAGAGGGTGCTTGGTTGAGTGATAAGCCCTGGATTCTGATGCCAGCTTCTCCACCAGCCAACTGATAGCCAGGAACTACCACAACCCTTTCCCGTCTAAGCCAACCCCTCTGCCATGGGGATGCAGTTCCTAACATGAGGCACAGGGGAACCTCAGGAGGGTTGTGAGCCCCAAAACTAAATGCAAAACTTTGTGTGCAGATTTCTAGAGAGAAAAGTCATATAGTTTCCACTAGATTCACATGGGGGTCTTCCATGACTGACAGAAAGAGATAAACTACTGATAATCCCTAAAGGACTTTTCAGCTTTCACAGCCCCTGAGCCTAGCGGGGAGATGACACCCAAATATATAAATGTAGCATAAGGCAGAAAGGATTCCTCTAGAAAGAAACAAATAAAGTACTGTAGAGTTAAAAGGAAGATCACTGCAGCTGAGAAGAAACCAGGGAAGGCTTCAAGGTAGAGGCACCACTCCCATACCCATTATGGAACCATCAGGGCTTCATCACAGATGGCCACATTCTTCTGAAATGGCCTTTAGAGAGCACTAAGTCCTAGCCCCTTTATAAGATGGGAAACAAATGTCCAGAGAGGGGAGGTGACTTGCCTAAGCTGGGGCAAGGACCCAGGCTTCCTAAGTCCACGGCTCTCTCCCCTTCCACATGAAAGGTATGTTTAAACTAAGGGATGGCACACGGTACAACAGAAAGACCAGGCACACCCCAGATGAAATGCATATTTCTACGTGTATGGAGGGGGTGTGTGTCTGGAAACGGATACACCAAAATGGCAACAGTGGTTATCTCTGGTGAGGGCCTGAATTCAGGTGTGGGCAGTGGTCCAGGGAAACATTTACTTGAACTGTATTGTGTAAACATTTTACAACTATGTATTCACATCATGTGATTAGGAGATAAGCCACGGGGGTTAGTTTTCATCCAGCCCTGTGTGCCCTTTAGTCAATACTCTATAAACTCCCCCGTGAGCTGTTTCCAGCCAGAGATTGCTGAGGACAGCCTTGGTCAGAACCTGTGGGAGCCATTCTGGCCTCCTGGCTCCAGAGGCCCCCAGATGAAGCATGGCCTTTGTGGCCCTTATCTACAGGGCCACACATGGTCTTGAAATGCCCTGCCTTCCCTCTGGCTGATAGGGAAGCGCCATCACATTCCAGGGATTCCTCTCACCTTTCGATGTAAGTGAGGGGAAGGGACCAAAGAGTCAGGATGTGTGGCTGAGTCACCAGATGTGACTGTGCACTCAAGAGAAAAGATAGCAAGCGTCCTAACCACAGACACAGACTGACAGCTCAGATAAAGCCCCTGGTGGCCCATGCTGATGGGAAGGACTCTGAGAGGAAATCTGTGTTGAAAATGTCCATTTTTAAGCTAGACAAAAGAAGCCCTGCCTGGTTCCCCTGAAGGGGAAGATGACATGATGTAAATATAATCTCCTGAGAGCATGGGAGTCCAACAGCCTCTCCTTGCTGCTCTAGGATCCTGAAGGACAAGGACACACTCTAGGATCTCAGTCACACACACAGGACAGAGCAGATGCTGCTTCTTCAGAAGCCTCGTCCCTGGTCCCCTTATCCCTACTCTCTGACCCCTATAACTTCCTCTTGGTGGGACTTCACATGACCTTCCTTACTTGCTTCAGTACTTGTTGTTTACTGTCTCCTCCCTGCCAGGGCAGGGCTGGACTGTTCATGCTAAATCTCTGTGCCCAGCACAGTTCCCAGGGTATGCGCTGCTGAAAACTGCCCAGCAGCAAAAATAAATGAAGCTCTCACGCTTTAGCCCTTCACGGCCTCTCCACCATTGCTCTGGACACTCAGCAGGGCCCTACTCCCAAGTGGGATCAAGCCTGCTTATCTCTCATACAGCTCTCCTTTCCTATAAACTTCCCCAGACTCTAAGATTTTAATTGAACAAAAAATTCATTTGAATGAAAACAAGAAAATTTGCAAAGTGGCAGCTAATCTAACCTCCTTAATTTTCAGATGGGAAACTGAAGCATGGGCACACACACCCGAGCCTTTGGTCACATAGTTCTTTGGCTCTAGAACTAGAACCTTGGCTCTCTGACTCCTGCCCCCAGCTTGTTTGCTCCACTGAGCTTTTTACTAGCTAACGGGGAGGGGAGCTGACTTTGCAGAGTCCAGCAGTCACACTCGCCTCTTCCATTTCAATCTTGGACTTGGCCAGCAGGAGCTTTCGGTCAAAGTCACGCTGTTTCTGTTCCCGTTCAGCCTCCAGCTCAGTCACCTGCTTCTGTAGGTCCGCCAGCTTCTGGCGCAGCTCAGTGATCTGGGTTCAGCCACAGAGAGGGAAAGTGTGTGAGGGTGGGGTGCGGGGTGCGCCTGGGATGCAGGCAGGGCTGGGCACAGCCACCCTCCAAGGCTCAAAGCTCTGAGGAGGCAGCGAGATGAAGAGCCAGCATGCTCTGCGAGCACGGCCAGACACCCTGTGTTACCTTCTGCTCATACTGCTGCTTCATGGACCGGAAATGCTGGTCCCACTGCTTGTTCACTTCCAGCAGCTGTGGGGATAGGTGGGGTTAGTGGGAGACAAACAGGGAAGGGACAAAGAGCGCCAGCTCCCACCCCACCCACACCAGCATCTCAAAGTGCTCGTGGTGTGTGTGAATAGCAGCTATAGACACTGTCTCCATCCCTCCCCTCTTCAACACTCAATGCTGCTCAAAGGCATTCACCTCTTTTGATTGCTGCATTTTACCCTTGCCAGGAGAACAAGATTAACACCAAGACAAGGAAACAATAAATTCTTTTGGTGTGCAATTATGGAACACACACTTCTATAGAGGGAACTTTGGGGCTATGTATTAAAATTTCATGGGTTTTTTTTGCTTGTATGAAAGGTCTTTATTGGTGGGAGGAGGGAAGCTGCAGAGCAGCACCGAGGAGGAGAGAAAAGAGGGGAGAGAGATAAGGAGAGAGTGGGGCAGAGAAGAGAGAGAGAGAAGAGCCGGGGGAAGACGGGGGAGATAGAGAGAGAAGGAAGGCAGGAGGCAAGAGAGAAAGCAAAATTTCATGTTTTCATCATCTTTAACCCAATAATTCCACTGAAAAGTTTAATCAATGAAACATTTATGCAAGTATACAAAAATATATATACAAGACTGATTGATCATCTCAGCAAAGTCTGTATTGCAAAAAAAGCCAGAGGCAAAACTAACACAGGGAATAGGATAAGAAAATTATATTATAAACATATAATATGTAGTTGTTAAGAAAATAAGGCAGGCTGGTGCCCATAGTTCAATGGGTAGGGTGCCAGCCACATACACTGGGGATGGTGGGTTCAAACCCAGCCTGGGCCTGCTAAACAACAATGACAACTACAATATAAAAATAGCCAGGCTTTGTGGCAGGCGCCTATAGTCCCAGCTACTTAGGAGGCTGAGGCAAGAGAATCGCTTGAGTCTGAAGTTGCTATGAGCTGTGACTCCATGGCATTCTACCGAGCACAACATAGTGAGATTCTGTTTCAAAAAAGAAAAAGAAAAGAAGGCAACAGGCCAGGTGTGGTGGCTTGCCCCTAAGATCCCAGCACTTTGGGAAGCTTGGGTGAGGATTTTTCTTTTTTTGAGACAGCGTCTCACTATGTCACCCTTGGCAGAGTGCCATGGTATTACAGCTCAC